ATCATTTTTATTTTAAACGGGGATAACAAAAAATATATTAAATGTATAAATATTTTTTGTCGTACTACATTTACTCTTAAAAAAAAACCACTGGAAATCTTTCAACGGTGGATTCCCGAAGGCGTAACCTTCGAACAAATTTTCATTGCAAATGTACATATTAATATAAATTCTGGCGCATTGATATTTAATATTAAACCGCATATTTGATGGCAAAATATTAATCATATCATAATAAATAATTCTAATAAATTACGTGACGAGACTGTAAATTTTAACGCCGGTTATACTTGATAATTAATTCAATTGATCGCACAGAAGTGCCGTTAAACGCGAGAAATTGCAGGACAGCGAGAAACCGGGGGATCAACGTGCGACGGATAAAGGAAAAAAAAATGCTCCAGGTGAGGCTCGAACTCACAACCCCGGCATGGCTCACAAGAACTGTTTATAAGTACCGTGCGCTAACCAATTGCGCCACTGGAGCCGTTGGGAATGAAGCCGTAAACGGGGCTCTTCAGCTTAGGTGTCGATAACGCCGGCAGCCTCCCGCTTTTATCCTGCGTTTTGCCGTTTCGTGCTGCGCAAATAAACTCAAACGTAATTTCGGCAAGTTTTGCAAAAATCGAACCGGAGCGGAAACGAAGCTTTCAATTCTGCTCCCTCGAGCATTTACTCGTATCTTACTCGTGTACTCGCGCACATCGCAATTATCCGCTTTGCGACACGAGCCACTTCTTCCCACTCGGCTCGCAAGGAAATTAGTGGCATCCATGTATATATATATTTGTTTTTTTACAACTAATGGCTAATCTCTTGTCGTTACGGGATTTTTATTTGCACCTGCGCTTTCGAGACAGGTGCACGTCTTTGCAGGAGGAGCCGAGGCGCAGAATACAAACTCTCCGCGTGAGGCGCGTTTGAACGAGCGAGATAAGAGAACGCACCTTCCTTTATTAATCGAGGTACCTTTGAGCCGCGGCTAAAGTCGCCCGACGCGATGACGGGACGAGGACGAAACGGGCACGCAGGTTAGGGCGGCAGGGCGGAGAGAGACGGAAGGTGAGAAAAGTGCAGAGAGCGCAGTCGACGCGCGAGATCAGGCCCGATCCCGAATGTTTTCGCCTCGCGTAATTTAGGTTGCGCGTGTCGCGCGATCGATCGCACGTCCCCGCGTTCTCGATCGACGGATCGGCGGCGGAGATCGAGGGGAGCGGCGGGAGGCGAGCGAGGAGGCCGCGAGGGAACGCAGGCTGACAGCCCTGGGGCCGCGACGAGGACGACACACACACGACCAGCCGTCGCACGGAACATGAACATGTCGGCTGCTAAATGCACTTTGACAGTCGACGGTCGGCGGGTCGGCCAGCAGTGAGAGAGGCGGGGGTCGCGTCGCCCGTCGCCCGATCCCGGAGCCGCGCCTCGCCGTCACGAGGAGGATCGTCGCCCCGGAGGATGTCATGTACGTCGGTCGCGCTGGCGCGAGGGAGACGGGAGGAAGTGCCACGTAACCGCCGCGCGTTGTTTTCGCGGGCCCGGGCCGACCGCGGGGGACGACACGCTGGTGCCCGCGACGCTTATTTCCCGCTCGAGGACCCGCGCCGAGCCGCGGGGCACCGCGCGACCTCGCTTAGCGCCTACGTCTCGCGAGGACACTGTTTACATACGTGGCGCGTCCTGAACGTCGACCCTTCCCGACGTTAAAGTCTGCTCCTTTATTGGGCAATGGGGCACAAGGATTGTTTATTTTTTATCGCTGCACCGGCGAGCTAGTTGTCTCAGGGCCAGTTTGACGAACGTCGGTTCTCGATTGATTCTCCGTCTCCTCTTGAATAATAAGATGGAAAAAGATAGGGAGTTGACTGAACTCTGGTTAACAGTTGACCAACGTTTGCGAAACTGGCCCTTAGAGCCGGTTACTCCAGTCTCTTTGTGAGCTAATAGTTAAATTGTACGTTGACTTGGAAAGAAAGACAAAGACATGTGATTTAGTTAGTAATTTAACGAAGGATTGGAACAACCGGCGCTTAGGGCCGGTTTTTCTAACCCCTTGGTAAGCTAACTGATGGTTAAAGTATATGTTTACATTTGTTTAATTTGAAGGAAGAGCAAAGACATACATATGATTTTTAGTTAACTTACCAGGAGGTTGGAACGACCAGCCCTTGAGACCTGTGTCCACGATGCTAGAACTTGGTCCAACTTCTAGTTCCAAGAAATGTGTAGCCAATCAACTTCCTAGAGAACATGCATGTTTAAAAGGCATCTTTAAGACGTCTATTAGACATCTTTTAGACACAAGACGTCTTACAGATGTCTTTTAAACATGCATGATCTCTGGGTTGCAGCTTTTATGGAGTAGCTGCAAGTTGATTGACTACATATTTCTCGGAACTAGAACTTGGACCAAGTTTCAGCAACGTGGACGCGAGCCTTTACTCTAATTTATTGTACTAGTCCACCAGTGCAGCAATAGACAACGAGCCTTCAGTGTCAAAAGGATCGAAAGATCGGTCGATGGCACGTTAAAGACTTAAAGAAAAGTGCTCTTTGCATCTAGAAACATTATATTTTGTAGCCAGTAAGTACGTTTAGGAAATTTGCGCAAGTTGATGAATTGTGTATTATACAATCGTACATTGTCAATCAATATTGTAAGCGTATTGATTTGCTGATACGAAACAGAATGTTTCTAATCGTAAAAGAAACGTAGATTAGACCTAAAGGCTACATTGTATTTATTCGTATTTGGCAAAATGGAGCCCGTGATTCACGCTGTTTCTCTTGTCCCAGGTGTAAAACATGAGCTGGTTTGACGCGACGGGATTCGCCAATTTGGCAAAGTCCGCGCTGAAGGGAGCCCAGAAGACCATCGACAAGGCCCTGGACATCAAGGAGGAGGAGCCGAAGGTGCCTCAGGCGCATGCGAACGAGACGTCGGACTTCTTCGCGAGCTGGGGACTGCAGGGCGAACAGGAGGCCAACAAGCGGGACGGCAATCCGCAGAGGCAGCCGCAAAACTCGAGCAGTATCTGGGGCAGCTTCTCGGGCTCGTTTTACGAGCCGCCGAAGGCCGTGGGCGGGAGTGGCTGGAAGAGCGGCGACGATCAGGATGAGCAGCAACGCGGCATGGTGTCGTCTACCTCCGCCCCCGAGAAACTGGCGGCGAAGGACTCGAGACCTGCGATAGCGAAGAGCGAGTTTGTACATAAGGAAGATGAAGGGGAGTCCAGCGCTGCCAGCGAGTCTGTAAATACGAATCAGAGCCTGTCTAAGGAGTCCGACGATGGAATCGCGTCGGAGTCATGCGCGTTGTCAGAGCAGTCGTCTCTGGACAACGTTGTCTCTATCAGTACGGACAGGATTGTAACTAAAAGTGGCAGTTTAGACGTGGAACAGATATACTACGCGCCAACGGCGGACGATACCGACAGTGATTCCACGACGAGCAGCGGCGGAAAGGGGCAGGGGCAGCGCGACAACGAGCTGGAGAGCAACGATGTGAATCTCGCGTCGAGTCCCACTAATGTGTTCCACAGAGTACCCAACGTCTCCTCCGAGAGCGACAAGAAGAGCCTGGAGAGTCTGGAGATACTCGGCTCGCGGTCCAACACCGATTGCACCACCACGCCGGAATCGGATCTCAATTCGCTGAGTCCCTCCGTCGTCGACATCAAGGTGAACTCCGAGTCGGTCGAGATACTGCCGGACAGTCTCGTAACGTCGCCGAGCTCCGTGGAAATCCTGGGTGACTGGAAGAGCGACAGCAGCCCGTATCTGTCGCCGATAGACCCGAAAAATCTGGAGTCGTCACCCGTCCTGGGCGGGGACGAGTGCGCCACTCCGTGCGTGGACTGCGCGCTACAACCGCCGAGCGGGGATCTACTCGCATCGTCGTCCGACATTTCCCCGTACGAGTCTCCAATGGAGGAGGCCAAGACATTGAACGTCAGTCCGTACTCGTACAGTATTGACAACACGCCGTCACCCAGCGCGTTTTCCAGCCTAGACACGAATAAGAGCTCGTCGCACGCGGCGGACAGTTCCAAGACTTCCCCGGAGAGCGTCGAGGTGATACCGGACGTGGACGAACCGGACGAGGTGAGTCTGGCCGAGGATTCGTACACCTCGGCTTCCGAAGGCACGGTCATGACGGTGCTCGAGCCGCTGCAACAGCTGGACGCGGCTAAAAATAAGGTGGAACTGGCTGATATGAGCGTCAAGATACCTATAAAGATGCACGATTCGTGTCCGGATGACAGGCAAATATCGGCCAAGACTTGCATGGAGAGCAGGTTGAACTTGAGCCTTGACTCGCTCAAGGAGAAGCACAATCTGCACCTGACGCTCGAGCCGATTACCACGCAACCGATTCGCAAGTCGGACCCACTGGAAGGGGTGAACGAGAAACCGGACGTTTCCACCTTTTCCCAATTAATGAGCACCACTATAGAGCCACCGGACCCGGACAGCCAAGTCGAAAGCATGGAAGAGACGAATATGATCGAGAGTAGTACCGATCAGTATTTAATATCCACCGATTCGAGCAGGGAAGGTACCTTGTTAGAGAGCAGCTCGGAGGATAACGCGACGTTGATCTGTACGGACGATTCCAAGATCCTCGAGACGCCCTTGACCACCAGTTCTTACGTGAAGACTATGCTGGCCGACGCTATGGTCGAGAAAAGCGAGATAATCGATATGGAGACCCATTGCGCGGAAGTGCCGCGAGAAAATTCACCGATATCGTCAGAAAGGTATTATTTGATTCGCGCCGTTCAAGTGAATAGCAGTTTCTCTGTTAAAAATCTGCTTCTTCCACAGCCGTTCCGATCTGGTGAAAATCGGGTCTGATCAGGCCAGCGGACACACGAGCGGAGACGAGTTAGAGACCACAACGTCGAGCGATATTGAGATAATATCTAGGTACAAATGTAGTAAAATATCTCTTGTTCTCCGTGCAATGTGCCGACGATTAATGTGTTATTTGTTGACAGTCCTAACGGAGATTCGAGTTCGACACAATCGCGACAGAGTCCGGCAAAATTACAGTTGAGCAAAGGCGGCGATCTGCTAACGAAAACTTTAAAGACCCGGGGCCATTCTCGAGAACTGAGCGAGATCAGTGTAGGCTCGGACGAAGCGAATATGGAGATTGAGAAGCTGCTGAAACGCGTGCAGGAGATGACGGAGATTTTAGAAGCGAGAGAATCAAAGTTAATCGACGTGAGCAGGATAAATATGGAGTTACATGAGCAGAATGCAAATCTAATGAGGTAAGATCGTCGCGATTGTATCAAAATGCTGTTGTTCAATCTTTTAGCAATAGATCTCACAAACAGATATGTTTTGCAGGCAGCTTGAGAATTTTGAAAAACACGCGGAGCAAAATCAAAACATTAATCAAATCACGGATGAATATACACAGCGTCTGTCGGCACTGGAGAGGAAATTTCAGCAAGCGATAAGGGAACGCGATCAGTTGAGGAAAAATTTAGATCAGCTAAAGTTAGAAGCGGCGTCGCGTTTGTCGTCGCAGGAGATGTTTAATATAAACGCCGAGAAGGATGAAATCATAAAGGAGCTTCGTGAGGAGGGCGAGAAACTCAGCAAACAACAACTTCAACACAGCAACATCATAAAAAAGCTGCGCGTAAAAGAGAAAGAGACTGATGCCACAATAAAGAGTCAAAAGTACTTCAGTTATAATGTTTTTAAAATTCTTTCGTCTTAGGCTGCGGTCAAGCTGTCGCTTCAAACGTTTCAAAGTATTCTTCTTCTTTCTTTCAGAAAGGATAGAAGGAGAAGAGAAACACTTTGAAGCATTTGTAGCAGCGGCTTGATCGGAATCTTAAACATATCAAGAGTAAATGGCAGCGAATAATAATCTATAATCCACACTTTGATTTCAAGGGAGCAAATAGAGGAACAAAATACGGAATTGGAGAGATTGAAACGGTCGCTGCACGCGAAGGAGGAGGTCGAGCGCAGTCAAATAGAAGCTGTTCACACGCTGACAGCGAAAACGAAGAAGCAAGAGAAGGAAATACTAATGTTACAGGAAAAATTGGATAATGCGGTGAATAAAATGGAGGCCTATAAGAAGAGCTTGGATGCTGCGAAAGTGTGAGTGTAGAAACATTTGGTCTGTTCTTTCTAGCTGAACTTGCTGCATCAGTTCAGAGTTTATCTTTCTCCTTCCAATGTAGAAGGAAGAAGACAAACTCTGAACTAGTGCAACCAGTTCAGCTAAAAAGAACATACACTCTAACTCTGAAGTAAAACGTGCTTCGTGTACTAAATAAAAATTTCTGTGCGACAGAGACTTGACAGAAACGAAAAAAAAGCTGGCAGCCACTGAGGAGGAATTAAAGGAAGCCGTGGATAATGCGGCTGAATCGTGCCAATTGTTTGCGCAAGTGGAGGATTTAAAATTGAAATACCGTCAAGCCGAGGAAGCTCACGTCAAGTATGTATTGTACATTAAATACGCCATTAGTCGTATAACTGATTTTGATTCTAATTCTATTTTCTCATGGTGTAGACGAGAGGAGTTTTTCAAGCACGAAAACAACGAATTACTTAAGCGATTAGAAGCTGCAGAGGCCAGAAGCGAAGAGTTATCTGAATCCGTCTCGGTAGCAACAAAACCTTTGTTGAGGCAGATAGAACAGCTTCAAGCAAACTTGCTGCATAAAACCAATAGCTTCATGAAGCAGGAGAAGGTTTTATCGGAGAAAAATATCGAATTGCAGTCCAAAGTCGAGAACTTAATCGAGATGGATCGTCTCCTGAGAGAAGAGAATGTTAATCTGAAATCCAAAGAATCGCATTTGGAGTCGAAGCTCAACTTAAAGGAGAAAGAGAGATTGAGATTGCAGGAGTCGCATGATACATTGAAAGAAGAAAACGAGAGATTAGTAGAACAGAATAAAGAGTAAGTATGGGCGTTTTTGTTTTCCGAGTCGTGATAATATTCAATATGTGACGAAAATCAAATTGCAGACACCAAGATGCGATAAGCACTCTCGAGCAGACACATTCCAGCCACGTACAGGAATTGAAAAGAGAGATAAACGCGCTAGAGAATAAATTAGCCGTCGAGAAGGCAGCGACCGACGCAGAGCGGAGGAGAAATAACGCGATATTGGAACAGCAGCAAAACACCGACGAGGAATCACGATTCAGCCCTACTCTCAGTATAGGACAAGAGTCTGTCAGCAGTGCAAATAGCGCCTGGCCAGGTGTACGTATAAAAATAACCTACTTTCTCTGGACGATACGTTAATTACTACTCTAGCCACCCACTTAAATATAAAATTAACACGAGATACCGTACTTACTGACTGCGCGAACACTAATAAATTAAAAAAATCTTTGACCCTAAAAATAGCATTATCCTCCCCTATGCTAAAATAAATAAAAATAACGTTGAGAGACTCCGATCGACGACTACTCTGCGTGTAACGTGAAATTTGCCTTATTTTTCAGTTCAGCGATTCAGTATTCGACAATAACTCGGGCAGATTTCCTCCGATACCGTACGAAAGCATCATAACGGGCTCGAGTAGCACGTCGATCTTCGAGAACTTGCAAGCGCAACTGAAACAGAGAGACGGTAGGCTCGTGTGCTGCGCACGTTCACTGGTAATCTTTTTCGCTATTGAGTGTCACTGATTCTTACTTGCCGTACCGCAGGCGAGATACAGCAACTCCAGTGGGAATTGTCGCGACGAAACACGGAGAGGGACGCACTGAACTCGGAATTGGCGACGTTAACATTGAAGATCGAGGATCTGAGCGCCAGCGTCGCGGAAGCACGGGCGCTCAACGAGAGCCTCAACGAGACGCAGACCAGATACGACGCGTTGCTGCAGATGTACGGCGAGAAGGTCGAGGAGAATCAGGAACTGCGGCTGGACCTCGAGGACGTTAAGGAGATGTACAAGATGCAGATCGACCAGCTCCTAAAGCGGCAGAATTAACCGCGAAATTTTCAAAAAGGGAAAAAACGAAGACTCGCGCGCAGCGCTTACGATTCTCTATGAAACTTTTAATTACACGCATGCACCATTTCACCGCGTAATCACTTCATCGATTTCTAGCGAGATACCGGCGTATAACGAAGTTTTATAGCGGACGACTTTAATAATACGTGTAGTTCGGCGGTGTACATTTGTATTGTCTTACGCAAACACATGCGGAAATTTGTGATAAAGGGTTTGGATGCCGGTGAAGAATTTCAATAGGGGGTTTTCTCAGCGAAGTTACATATAAATATATTTATTGAGCATTCTGGGCGAGAGATCTAAAGGCCTGTGTCCACGACGCTAGGACCGGTATTCATAGTCGGACCTTATATTCAAGGCCGTCTTGAATTTATCTAGAGATGCTGTATGGAACATTTCATTGGCTACGGAGTGTCCTTAAGACAGTCTTGAATATAAGATTTGCCTATGAGCACCGTCCTAGAACTTGGTCCAAGTTCTAGCATCGTGGGCACAGGCCTTAAAAGACCTGTTTTCTACTGCTGCACCGGCGAACTAGTGCAGTAAGCTAGAATTAAAAAAAATATACACTTTTTTTTATTTCTATTGCACTGGTTCACCGGCGCAGCAATAGAAAACCAGTCTAAAAAGTGTCGGAGGTATCGAGGTAAGGCCGTCTCTTTTCTTCCGCATTATCGTTATTATTATTATTTCCTGTGTACAGTTATCGTTTCGTATGTTTTAATCTCGGTTAATTTAACATCAGGGAGGATCATGTGATATTGGAGTGTATTATATAACGTTTAAACATGATACATGTATATAATATAATGAGAAAATGTACTTTATCATTTAAATATAGTGACATGAACACCAACGTTCTCTCTATTCGCGGCGAGATACGAGTATCGGGAGCTTCTTTTTTTTTTTTTTTCTTTTAAATCGTTTAGCGCGGACGGGGTTGCGGGGAGCGGAGTGTCGGTAGAACCGAAGTTCCGCGCACCGTGAGCGGCGAATCGCGCGGCGCGTATTTAAACATCGCGTGCGGCGCGCGGTAATTGTCCGTTCCATTGCCCCGCGCGTGATATCACGCCCGCCTTGGTTTATATTTAGAAACTGCCCGCGGCGCGACGAGATGCACCGCCCGTGGAGATCCGCGATCGCCCGTGCGCCTCAGATGTCATGATCTTTCGGCCAAATCGTCGCGCCCCAAAATTTCTCCCGTGTACCGCCCGTTCGCGCCCAGAGCTCCGGCTTCGATTATCCCGGTTAATCTCCAGCGTACCGTGAGTATACATCGAGATCGTGCGCGGTCGCGCGGACCGTGTACTCGCGTCCATTTCTCTCGCTGCGCTCGGACACGAGCCATTTGCGCGACGTTGAGGGACACACGGGGTTTGTGGAATCCTGTTGTCGTAATCTCTCGATCGCGTGGCACAGCGATCTATTGCTTGCGATATAATTTAGGTAAAGCGCGTCGCCGAACCGATGCTTCGTTTCGCGCTGCACGTATCCCGACTTCGCGCTTGAATTCAGGAACTTGAATTCGTCCCCTTCATTTCCCCGTCACGATTATATCGGCCACTTTTGGCCGTTCTCTGACCAGATTTTGACGTCTGTCAGCTGGGAAATGTCCGTTGCGAAGCGTGAGAGCAACCCGCTCGCATTTAATTCGCAATATTCAAACGATTTATAGGTTATACCCGCGAGAGATGTGAATGTCCATGGGACACGCTCTTTGACGTGTGATCTATTTTACTGTAGCAGCCCCCAACATGGGAGACTCGACTCCGATAAGAGGCAGACGCCTAAAAGTTGTCAGTCCGCAGAAGAGAAGAGCGCCAGACGCGATGCCGCACACCAGGAACGTAGCGATGGCCGTCGCGAGACCCGTGCCCTTCAGGCAGAGCCGCGACGCTCCCGTCTCGACGAGCAGGCGTCGGATTCTGAGAGCGCAAAGCCACAGAAACAATCCCGCATTGCTGTTCCCGGGGACACCCTTGCGTACGTTGTACGATCCCTTGAAGAGCTCGCTCGAGGTCAATCGAAGCCCCTGTATTCTAGGAGATACTTTTCCTTCCCCCCCTCTCTCTCTCTCTCTCACTCACTACACACTTTTGCTTTCGGTAGAATCTTGTTTAAAGTACCACTGTCTCTATATCTGAAGCTTGGCGCCGTAGGTGAAAAGAACCGGCCGCTGGAGAGCCAAGAACCCGAGTGCCAGGCGCGCTACTTTCGGAAAGACCGACTCCCCGGGCGCCGAGAGGGCCAGCGCCTCGCAAAATTTCTGCCCGTTGAAGAGATCGTCACGCAGGGAGAAAAATCGCGCGTTGCGCTTTCCCAACACGGTGCCCGCGCGACCCGAGCCGTCGGCGGACGACGGGGATCTGCGCAGGGCCAGTTCGAGGTCTATAAAGCTGTCGAGGAAGTGCGATCTGTCGCGGATGAGGGAGAGCCGGACGGAACGCGAGGACGCGTTCGCGCTCCTGCCGAGGATGGAAACGCCAATCGACAGCGTCGCGTGCAAACCGGTTGCGTCGTCGCCGGGTCAATCGTTCTACGACATCGTCGACACCGCCTCGACGGCGTCGACGCCGTCGCTGTCGAGCCTCGGGGTCGAAAATAAGAAGACGTCTGCGAACGTTGCATATAGGGCGAGGTCGATACCCGATACAGCGTCGCATTTGCGTCCCAGATACAGCGAATATGAAATAAACGTTTTGCATTACGACGGCCCGCCGGGGAGCAGCAGCCCACAGTTGGCGCGATCTCATTTCAAGTCCACCAACACAAGTTGGTCCTCCGCCTACGACTGCAGTTCAGCGAAAGTTCAGAATGACAATGATAATCTCGCTGATAAGGCAGAGTCCGGAATGGAGAGTCGCGCTCGGGACGAAGGCAAGACCGTGGACGACGTGAAATATTCATGGGAAGCAGATAATTGGGTGCCACCGTCTCGAAGGAAGGAACTCGACGACGCGCGCGAGACAAAAAGCGCTCGGACGAACGGCAAAAGTCCTTACGAGTGTAAAATTAAGTATTCCTGGCAAGTTGTCGGGACAGGCACCCAGACGTCGTACACTTTACTGCACGATTTGTTAAATGACGTGGAAGACAGTAAGTCTGCGTACAAGACGTGCAGCGTTAAGTATTCCTGGCAAATTATAGGGATCGGCGCGCAAGCGTCTCTGCACGATTGTAACGATTCGGATTATTGGAGCGGCGTGCTGCTGACGCCGAGTAAGAATTGCGGCGGGAACGAAGCTGGAGTCGGCAATGATGAAACGCGCCGTGCTAAACCGCACGATTATGCGAGATGTGTAGGGGAAAGATTGAAGAGATGCTTGATATTGAACAATCAGCAAACCCAGACATTTGCTGAGAAAGAGATTCAAGTTGACCCTAGTGATTGCTACGCAAAGTACTCCTGGCGCAATTTAATTAAACAACATCTCTAATCGATACACAAGGTTCAATCCGCGAAATATTAATGCTCACTTGCACTTGAATATTATCAGTGGCCGCTTATGTTAATCCAAGTCGATTGTCTTTTCAGATATGGAGCAAATTTTGGAGGAGCCGACCGGACAAAAGCTGCCTGGTAAACTGGAGCTGGAGCAGATCGACAATTGTGACGAATCGTTGCACAAGTACGCGGCAAAACCATTAACGCCAAATATTTCTAGTAAGAGTTCTGTGATATCCGACAACGGCAATGAAAAAACGAAGAGGGAGGAACTGCTGACGCGATTGACGTGTGCGGTAAAGAAATTGAACCAATACGAACGAGACATGGCTAAAACTCGGAGCACAGACGCACCGCGTCCCGACGCGGAAGGCACTTTCGCGCAAAGAGGAGAGGCACTGCCGCGGGGCGTGGAGGACAATATCAAAGGCATTGTAGAATCTACTCGGGAGTACATAGCAAAATTGGATTACCAGTTGAAGGATCTCGACGAGGCTGATCGGCAGGTAAATTAAAATTGCCGCTTGCTTTTATCACCTCGTACCTACATTAACATGAGCAAATTGTTTTGTCAGATAGAAAATAGTGTGATGAGAACGTTAAAAGATATAGACGGGACGTTTCAATCTTTGTTAGATGATGTGTACGACGAGATCAATAAGAGACGCGAACAGCTGATACTGGAGACCGAGGTTCATAAACACGAGAGTCTGATACCGTTGCGGGCTTGTAGAAAGGAAGTGCAGGCACAGGTGCAAAATGCACGGAATATCATATCGATGAGCGAGGATATTCTGCGGCATCCGCATCGATACAGCGCGAACGGACTTGGAAAGATCATTTCCGCGAGTAACGATATAGGCAGGTGAGAGGCTCGCGACGGTATAATACAAAGATTGCCGAGATCGTCGTGGATTATCTAAGCTTTATCAATTATTTCCAAGGATCCCGGCGGTGCCGTACTCGGAGGAGCTCCCGAATATAAATTTCGACCGGCAATTGAGCTCGTGCAAGGAGGAGATTGTGGAGCAGATATCGAAGCTCGGCTGCATCTCTCGCACGGTACCCGTTCAGATAATAAACATCGAGGAGAGACCGGCGGGGCTGTTCGTCAAATGGCACGTAACCAATCCGGAGTACTTCGAGGAACAGACGTTTGTCGTGGAGAGAGCCAACGGCGAGATCCTCGACCCGGCGTCTAGCAAGTTCGAGACGGTGTACAGAGGCTCCGAGACTTCTTGCTTCATCAGAAATGTACCTGTTGATCGACCGGTTACGCTCAGAGTTCGAATACAAGCGGACAACGTCGCGAGGAGCGTACATCACTTCGCGCGGACTTCTGTACCGCCGTATAGTACGTATATACGGGGAGAGCGAACGATCTCTGTATTAAGATTGAAGCTTTTCTAAATCCTAACTGACCTGATAATCGAAGAGAAAGAAATGAAAGTAGACTCTCGTTAATAATCCGGCCGCTTGTCTAATTTTCTTTTCGTCCGATATCTTAATAAATTAGCTAGTAAGAATATTCTTAAAAGTCGCCAGAAGTAATTAATAACATGAGTGATTTTT